CCGCATTCCTCCAGTACCTCAACATCTGTCTGGGCGAAGAGTGCACTTTCGATTTGGAGTCAATGCAGAGTTACTTTCACTTCAACCTAGAGCAGTACTTGCAGCCATCTCAGAAAAGGTTCGTCTTGCCTGTCTAACACTATCTACCACTACCTCTTTTAGCACACTACCACATGTCTTCTCTGTTTCACAACCACCAATGACAACATGAGTACGCTTTCTTCTTTCTCTTTCACACAGGTACATTGGCTACTTCCACGGACTGCTCTCCGGTGAATCGCAGATGACCAGTCAACAGTTTTACCTGAACTCGATCACCATTCGCAAGGTGCCCAACTTTGACGGCCATGGCCTCTGTCAGCCCTTTATCAAAATTTACCAGGGACTGAATCTAATCTACTGCTCGCTCATTCTCAACATTGACAGCGCCTACGCTGCCGCCAACGATGCAGTGGTCTTTGCGCTGAAGACGCCTCTCAAAGTGCGTGGGGAGATTCTCCTGAAGTGCTACCACAGACGATCAAGTCCCAGCGCCCGAGTGGCCATGTTTTCTGTGCAGTTTCACACGGCCACTCTCTCCAATGATGTGGCAGTCTTCCCCAAGGAGCAGATTGACATTGCCGCCTACGATAAACGCTTTCACGAGGAGACCCAAGTAGAGCTGCTTTTCAATGAGAAGAGACTGCAGACAGTGCCCGAGGTGCGCTTTCTGGAGGACGAGCATATCACCAAGTGGAACTCATACGAGAACTTTGTTACCGATGTCGAGTACACCAAGGGCCCACTGGACGGCAGTCTTTACGCCACCGTCGCCAAGCGCTCACCCACGCAGCAGCTACCCCCGCAACCGGAGGAACAGCACCAACAGCAGCAACAACAACAGCAGCAGCAACAACAGCCACAGCCGCAACAAGAAGGGGTGCAACAAGCACATCAACAAGTTGCCGACAAGGACAGCTCACCGGCAGTCTCTGATGAGAGGAAACTTGACGAGCTTCTCTCTGAGCTTTTACTGGAAATTGAGACTTTTCCCGACTATACGGTGGAAAGTCCCGCCAAAGGCAAAGAAGTGCCAAGCAACGGCAGCAGCCACAGCAAAAATGATCTCCCGAGACAGCAGTCGGCAACGTCCTCAGCCTCACCGCCTGTGGCAGTCAACAGTTCATCGGTAATTACCGTTTCCCTGGTGGGTTCACTGATGGTGCAGCAGACCTCGGTCGTCGACACCAGTGCTGATTCGGTGGATGCACCGGTTGATCAAAGTCCGCCGTCGCCTCAGCAACAGCAGCAGCTAACCTGGTTGCAGAAACAGCAGCTAAAGTTGAAGAGCAAGCAGGACCAGTTTCAGCAGAAGCGAAATGTTGTCGAGCGGCAGCTAATTGCCGAGCTGAAGAGCACCATTGAGAACGGACAGAAGAACGGTGCCGCCGACGAGAATGGCGTCGGCCATCAGCACAGTAATGGCAGTGCGCCGGCCTCTCATGAGCCACCCACGCCTGCGGTGCCCGTGCGAACGTCCAGTCGGAACATCCTCATGACGCCGCTGTATGCTGAACAGGCCGAACTGGGCCAGCCAGTACGCACTTTGTCGCTGGACCATTCCCCGGCACAGCTGCCAGTGCTCTCCAATGGCAGTGGCGCTAATTACCAGTTGCTTCTCGGTAGTCAGCAGCAGCAGTATTCATCAGTGGCCGTCTCAAACGCGCCAACAGTCGGTAGACAACAGCTTCGGCAAGCGGAGACAGCAAACTGGAAGCAAAACGGCGCCGGCGACGAGGATAAGCATCAGCTTCAGTTGGTAAGTTCATCTGTCCGTTCTATTTGCCCAACAACTGCCCACACTTTACTTGTCATTGCAGTCACTTCACTCGGATGAAATACTGCCAGCCAACACTGCCACCACCACTACTAGTCCGCAGAGTCCGGTGCACAGGCCAATCACTCCGTCTTTTCCAGTGAAAGAGTTCAGGTGAGCAGATATTCTTTGCAATTATTTATGGTTTTAAACAGTTTCATTTTTTACACAATTCAGAAAGCCAAGCATGCTGCACTCACCAGCCACTCCCGGGGGTCATGTGCCCCTCTTCATCAAGGACACCTCCTCATTCTGGTACAAACCACATATATCACGCGAAGAAAGTACGCTTTTTCTATCCCATCGCACCATCGGTGTTTGTAATTAATTCCGTTGTTTTTGTTGTCACAATACAGCCATCAAACTACTTCATGACAAGCCATCAGGAACGTTTCTCATTCGTGACAGCCACTCATTTCAGGGAGCATACGGTTTGGCGGTGAAAGTGGCGGCACCAGCTAACGATGGTAAGTCTGCAGCTGCTTGCTGGGGCACATGACGATGACTAGGCGGACAGAGACAGACAATAGATGACTCAGTCATTGACTCGCTCACTTCTCCACCCTAGCAGGCGAGGACGGCAACGTGCCCGATTCAGTGCGTCACTTCCTGATCGAGTCGACGAGCAAGGGCGTGCAGATCAAGGGCTGCGCCGAGGAGCCGGTGTTCAGCAGTCTGGCGGCGCTGGTGTACCAGCACTCGATCAGCCGCATCTCACTTCCCATCACACTGGTGATTCCCTCGGCGGACATCGAGACGGAGGACAATGGGCTGCAGCGACTGTACGAGAACGGCGCCGCCTGTCACGTCCTCTACTTCACCAGCGAGGACGTGGAGTCGTTGACCGGTGATGCTGCAGTTCGCAAGGTGGTCGACAGTCTGCTGCAGCTCAAGCCGAGACTGATCAAGCCAACCGCGGTTCACTTTAAGGCCTCCATCAAGGGCATCACTCTCACGGACAACAGTCACAAGTACGTGTAGACAGTGCGGCGGCGGCGGCGTTGTACGACAACACCTGCTTCCTCATTACGCACTTTGATAAACTGAAGAGCTTCTAATCGTATCGTTAATCCCCCTCTTTTGCAGGCTCTTCTTTCGACAGCACTACCCAATGCCGACGATTAGCCACTGCTCACTGGACCCTGAAAATCGATCTCTAATCTTCCACCACGAAGGCAGCACTGTGGAAAGGTAAGCTGTTGGAGGAGGAGGGTAAAGCGGAAGCATCTCCTAATGATTTTTGCTTGCAGTGTGCTCTACGGGTTTGTGGCAAGGAAAAAGGGGTCCAGCTCCGAGTGGTTGTCGAATGAGTGCCTCATTTTTGGTCAATTTGAAACGGATCAGCCATCGCATGCCATCGTTGACTTTGTAAATAAACTCAAGTCCCTGTGAACTGCCACCGTCTCTTAATCAACACCCCCTCCCCCACCTCCACCCAGTGTTCATCCCCATTTGCAATTTTTCACCACTCTATTTATTTATTTGTGCCTCCTTCCAACCCCAACCTATTGAACTTTGCCAAAATATAAAGCAGCCAAACAGGTGCGCCAGTGTATTCTGCCGCCTTTTCGAAAGTAGACTCTGTGAGTCATCAGTAATCAGCGGCATCAATGAAAGGGGGAAACGCTCACTGGCTCTCTCACTGTGATGGCCGACAGACAACACACGTTTTCCTCCTTTATTGCAACAATTGGCACTGATCAGTGAACACTGCACACAGGAGGAGCCAGTCAACTTGTGAACAGTGTGTGTGTGATGGAGGATGTCAAGCGTGTACACTGCTGTGCAACACGGCAACCACTGACAGAGACGGCGTCGAGTGGCGTTGCATCGAGTTTCGGTGGACCAGCAGACCACTGGTGCAAAGGTCGGACACTCCTTTGCTCTTAGACCCGAGATTCACCCTAACAAAAGACAGAGGTGAAAAGGGCACCGCCAAAGGAGGTGATCATGGTCATGGTAGAGAGGAGGGAGTACAGTCAGGACTATTGCTAATTGTCAATTGTCATGACTGGCGCGATTAGAAGCCATTAATGGCTGCGCGGCGTACTCACTGTCGATGGTGGTGGTGGTGGTGCCAGTGGCGACAGAGTGACGCCGATTCGGCGTCGCCGAATGGCGCCGTAGCTGTTGCCAGAGCACAGAAAGTCTGAAGCGTAGCTCGAAAAGAGCCTCAGTGGCTGCTAATTTCTGGCTCTCTTCTCGCACTCTCATTTCTTTTCTATCTCTTTCGTTCTCTGCCACTTGAGCAATTCGAAGAGTGTCTGATCGGGACAAGCTGCCATCGACCGACTGTAACAGAGAGTATAGCTATACAACAACCACTGCCACTGACTCTCTCTCTCTCTCTTTCTCAATGTCTTTGTCTCTTCTTTCCGGTCAGCTGAAGAGTAGTTTCCCCAAACTCCAACATGGCCAATATAAACCTATTACTCAGTGAATATAAAAAATATAACCAGGGAATGCGTAGCAAAGTTTTCCTACGTCAGAATACTAATTCAATCTAGTCGCAGAAAGTCCGAGTGCATCCATTAAATTGGATTTATAGAAGTCATTAAGTTTGGTGAGAGATGAAGAGGTGGGCTAACTGTAGCATTCTGCAGCCCAGCTGTCCAACCAGGGAGGTGAATAGAGTCCAGGCTTTTCAGCAGGCGCCCCCGAATGCGACTGTAGCTTAGAGACCACTGTACGAGTGCAAAAGTGGACTCCCTCTTGCGGCGACACGTCGTCTGTGAAGCAGTCGGCTGAGTGACAGCCCAGCAAAGCAGCTTCTACTGTGAGGCAGAGTGTTGTGGCGTCATTCATTTTACTCTGCGCTCACTTTGTCATCTCGCTTGTTTATTGTGAGCCATTTGCCAGCAGCTTCTGCCAGGTTCGCCTCGTCTCCAGCATTAACTCCTCTCCTCGATCCAAGCACATCGGCTCGATTCACTGGAGATACGTCGCCGCTCGCTCTCCCCCTCTCTCTCTCTTCCCAGGTAAGTGTGCGCCCACTGGCCACCCAACTTCGGGAGACGACGTCCCTCTAACGTAGTCACACACAGCTCGCCCAGTTTCCCCTTCACCTTCTCCCACTGCTATATTGTGCACTGGGTGCCAATCCAGCCAGTTTACTCGAGCCTAGAGCCGAAAGAAACACCGATCAATGGCAAATCGCAACGTCGCTCAACGACCCAATGGTGCCTCGGCCCAGGGCAAAATTTGCCAGTTTAAGCTGGTTTTACTCGGCGAATCTGCCGTCGGCAAATCGAGTCTAGTACTAAGATTCGTCAAAGGACAATTCCACGAATACCAAGAAAGTACAATTGGAGGTAAACAATGAAGCATCATCACCCCCTTTTCGTGCATTCTTCAACTAACATTCCCTTTGTTTGTGTCCATGCAGCCGCTTTCCTAACTCAGACCGTCTGCTTGGATGATACCACTGTCAAATTTGAAATCTGGGACACTGCTGGACAGGAACGTTACCACAGCTTAGCGCCAATGTACTACCGCGGTGCTCAGGCTGCCATCGTAGTCTACGACATTACGAATCAGGTTTGTTTGTTTGTTTGTGCTCCCTCTTCAGTAGTACGCACCAGAGGAAGTGTTAGTGACAATGTTAAACGGCTCTTTAACTCGATCGATACTCATTCACACTCTCACAGGATACCTTCAGTCGCGCCAAGACATGGGTGAAAGAGCTGCAGCGACAGGCAAGTCCTAACATTGTGATTGCTCTCGCCGGTAACAAGTCGGATCTTGGCAACAAGCGTACCGTCGAGCAAGAGGAAGCTCAAGCTTACGCCGACGAGAATGGCCTTCTCTTCATGGAAACATCGGCAAAGACTGCAATGAACGTGAATGATATTTTCTTGGCGATTGCAAAGAAACTCCCCAAGAACGATCAAGCTGCTCCCGGGGGCGCATCAGGAACTGGACGACGCATCGATCTCAACGACAGTCAGCAGCAATCGTCTGGTGGTTGCTGTAAATCATAAGTCTACTACATCGCCCTGAAAAGCGTCTTTCCTTTCCATGTCATTTTTTATGTTGAAAATTGTTTTATACTTTAATATATTTATATCGTGTGAGGTGATGGCTTGTTTTCTATAGAGTTAATAATCAATTTATCTAATTAAAGGTGTAGCCTACTCTGAATCTATCGACACAAACACACACACACACAAACACACATACTTTCTGTTGCAGATCACAACTTGACCATTCACATGAGCTGCTCTCTCCCTCACCTCTTCTTTCCTACACGCCCACAAATCTTCACACACACACACACACACACTTCTCTTTCTCTGTATGTAAATACCAAGCGTACCAATTTGTATGGATCACACTCACTCTCTTTCTGTTATGGACTCTCGCTCGCTGATTTCCTAACCAATTGCAATTGTAGTCCCTTTTTGTACCTGTATTCGCCTAAACGAAATGAAAGCACCAACTCTCGAACCAAGTCTTCACCTCTCTCTCTCTTTCACTCTCTATTTTATTCTACTCTTTTCTCTTCACCTCCCCTCTTTTCCCTCCTCTTCCTCATTCTCCTCGTTAGTACTCCTCTTCCNAGTCTTCACCTCTCTCTCTCTCTCTTTCACTCTCTATTTTATTCTACTCTTTTCTCTTCACCTCCCCTCTTTTCCCTCCTCTTCCTCCTTCTCGTTAGTACTCCTCCTTNCGCTCGCTGATTTCCTAACCAATTGCAATTGTAGTCCCTTTTTGTACCTGTATTCGCCTAAACGAAATGAAAGCACCAACTCTCGAACCAAGTCTTCACCTCTCTCTCTCTTTCACTCTCTATTTTATTCTACTCTTTTCTCTTCACCTCCCCTCTTTTCCCTCCTCTTCCTCATTCTCCTCGTTAGTACTCCTCTTCCTCCTCTTCTACATTTCAGCCTGTTTCCAACACCAAACATACAAACAACAGCACACCAGCCACTCAATGTACACCTGCTAAATTGTAACAGACACACAAACATACATACACAGAGACTGTCGTAGCCGTGCCTCGGGACGGCGATCTATCACGCTGATGAATAAATGATGTCTATTCATTTGGTTGGCCCACTCCTCTTCACTGTGTGCTTGTATCATTATCTGCCTTTCTGTACCCCAATGCTTGCCTTCCTTCACCAAAAAAGAGNCAACACCAAACATACAAACAACAGCACACCAGCCACTCAATGTACACCTGCTAAATTGTAACAGACACACAAACATACATACACAGAGACTGTCGTAGCCGTGCCTCGGGACGGCGATCTATCACGCTGATGAATAAATGATGTCTATTCATTTGGTTGGCCCACTCCTCTTTACTGTGTACTTGTATCATTATCTGCCTTTCTGTACCCCAAAGCTTGCCTTCCTTCACCAAAAGAGAGAGAAATCTCGGACGACATTACCACTTTGCGCCTATCAGCTCCCGCCTCTAATCACTACGACCACCGTACTGAAAATACTCCCACTGGGTGTTTTCATTCTGCTGTTACTGTCATGTTTAAAAAGTTTTTTCAAAATGCTTCCAAAAGTTTACTTATGGGTGAAATAATTCAAATGATCTATGGAAGATGGGCGTGATGCACTTCACTTGCTAATTGATCACATTTTTTCGCATCTCAAAAGTTTTTTCTCACTTTGATAAAAAACTTAAAGTTAATTATTTTTATCATCATTTTTATCCGATTATCATCCGATACATTTTGCAAATGCTTTCCTTTNTACATGTTTCATGAACATCATAGCCATCTCAAAATCAAAGTTCCAAAAAGCAGTAAAAAAGTGCGCGGTGTCCCCCCTTAAAGTTAATTATTTTTATCATTATTTTTATCCGATTATCATCCGATACATTTTGCGAATGCTTTCCTTGATGCTAAAGAGTAGAACAACTGTTAGCGCTTCAAGGCAAATTATTTGATTTGAAACTTAATTCTACCAGGCGGCGCTAGTACTGTTTTTACGTCCGTTACGAAGGGGCAGTTTAGGGAAAATTCTACGACACTAGCGCCACCGCACAAAATCCGATTTCCTGGTGTGCTTTCTCACCGAGCACACTTCACTACTCGCCTGTCGTCCACCGACTCCTCAACAAACTTGAAACATGCGAGCTAAGGTAAGTTTTCGGTTCTCGACATCTCCTACCTGGACCCCTTCTGGGTTTTTGCATCTGCCCACGACTGTCGCTTGCCTTCTGGTCAACACTCATCTAATGTTTTGTTTTGTTTTCATTCCCATTTTAGTGGCGTAAGAAGCGTATGCGCAGGCTGAAGCGAAAGCGCAGGAAGATGAGGGAGAGGTCCAAGTAAGCTTCTCTTCCCCTGAATCTCGTGGATGGTCCCGACTCCGTTGGCATTCCTCTTCCTGATTCTGGCAACCTCATGAAGCTCTAACTTTTGATTTAAACAATAAAATGGCTTTACCAGCTAACAACGGTGTGTGTTGATGATTCTGTTTTCATCTTTATTTAATTTGTCTTTAAGAATTTACAACGGGTATAAAATGAAGCGAACTGGCGCACATTTGCGACCGGATGAGTGGAAAGTAGAAATCAGGCATGGGTGTGAGGTAAATGGTGTGGCGGTGTGCTTGCAAAGTAAACAAATGGATTTGGCATCGGTGCACCTATGATCACGGCGCCCAATGTGCACTTCTCTGCTCAATGCATATGAACGGCAATCTTGGAAGTCTGGTGTCAACTAAGTCTCGAAAATCATCGCGTGCCCATCATCTCCTCCTAATCTTCCGCATACTGGTGCTTGATGGGTCCTTCTTGTGGAAGATTGTCGTACTGCGGACCGAATGACTGGAAGCCCAAGATACCACAGCTCGCAATTAGAATTAGCCCACCGAAGGCGAGAATAAACGGCCCTGCAACAATAACAATTGTTAATCATCGGAAGATCTTTGTACTTCACCAATTGACAACACATACCAAGCAATCGAGTGACGCTGGAGCCAATGTATCGATCGTAGTTTGTCTGCAATGAACGCACAGAGCAATGCTAATTACTTCAGATCAAGTTAAACTAATGAATCTACTTACATCGTAGTCTGGTGGGGTGATTTCCGTGTATGCGTAACCAGTGAGGATGGCGCCTGAAACGATGAAGATAAGTCCTGCAGGTGAAGGTTCAATTAGTAAAAACCATAAAAGTTGAACATTTTCCCAAGCTGCTCGTACCGATAATAATGGAGCCAACAATGACCCACTGGACCCCCTTGATGTTCTGTCCCTGCCTCATCTTGTCGTCAGTTGGTGATTGTTTCGCAAATCGCAAATCAGTTCCAATTGGAGCAAAACACAAGAAAAAGGTGCAGCTTTTAGAAACAGTAAAGTGAAAACAACAAGTACGTTCTTTAGAGCAGCGACAACTCGGGGCTAGGTTGCAAGTGGAGTAAAATCGCATCTAAAAACGAAGCCAACTGATAGCGTTGGCCAGTGGTCCTGGAAACGGTGATAAGCACCTGCATCGAGATGCAAAGCAAACAGTGAGACAGCAGCCATTGCACCTGATGGTAGCCACCACCCGGACACACCTTTGGAGCTTAGAGCAGCAGCATTCCTTAGATGCAAAGCTGCTGTACAGTGGCAGGAAGAAGGGGCGAGCTCTCTCTCTCCTTCTCTTTCTGCTGCTGTTGATGCAAACTTGCAGTGTGTGTTTGATCGATGGCAACGATGCCTGAACGACCGCCGGAAGGAGGCCAGGCGGCAACATCATCTCCTCCAGCAACATCAGCTAATCGATCATCGCTGGTTGCCAGGCGCAACGGAGGCGCTCAGTCTTCTGGCGCGCTCCGATCACTCAGTAGTCGCACATCAATCGTAGATCGGCACCAATTTAATTTAGGTAAACTTGTAATAGAACAATAAACAAAAACAACAATTGAAAAGCATGCAGTAGAGATGGTGGTGGAGTGAGAGCGAGAAAGACTGGCTGGCTCGATGGTAAGTTAACTGTAACGGTGTGACTAGAGGTGTGTCGGGACAGGCAGGGTCCCTACTACCACAGCTCGACAAACTCAATGCCCGCAAAGTTGTTCTCCTTTGCCTCCCAGTATTTGCCATTGTAGACGTACGTCTCCTCGTTGTTGTTTGACGTCTCTTTCCTGCAAAAAACGGCGAAAGTTAGTGATGAGAAGATTAACTCAACAAACACTAGTAAAAGACAAACCTAAACCAGAGTGGGGTGTACTCGGGGTCGCCAGTTCCCTTTGCCTCGTTCAGACGCCTGCGCTCCCGTTGAGCTCGTTCCAAGTCGAGTTTCACCGTTTCGGCGCTGGCCGTTTTCCCCTCCTCCAGCAGACGCTGATCAGGCCGGAAACGAGTGTCAGTAGGTGGAAGGGTCACCTTGTCCCTTTCAGTCAGTTCATTCAGCTCAATGGCAAATCGACTGAAACCATAGTAGTCCTGAAAGTTGTCGGGCATCGTTCCAGGGCGCCAGAGCAGTCGAGTGGCCGGCGGAGTGCCGCAGTGAATGGACTCATTCCAGCGACCAAAAATCTTCTCCAGTACCTCGCCCTTGCCGACGGTGACAGTGCCGGTGATTTCATTCTTCTTATTTGACCAGTAGCCCGCCTTCTCAAAGGTAATCTTGCAGGTCAGTCCGTTGGCAGTGTCGCTGATCACCAGTTCGCCGTAGTTGTCCACGTACCGCTCGCCCTTGAAGAGATTGTGCACACAGGTGGTGATCTTATTCCACTTGTAGTGGCAGTTGAACGGCTTCAGAATGACGTTCACCGTCGCAAAGGGAATCACCTCCATTGACTTGCCCCAAAACTTGCTCTTGACGCGCAAATCTACAAAAGTGAGAGTGTTGCTTAGACAAGGCGAAGATCACTAAAGGTCACAAATTGTCAGTTACCCTGCCAAAAGACGTAGTTCTTTGCGTCAGCATGACACGCAGAGATGGGCGGATGGTGTGACACTTGCTCAGAGACGAATCGAAAGCCCTTGTCCTCTCGGTCGCACTCGTACGTCTCGCCCAGCAGTGGATTGAACGGCTTGTGACCGGCTCGGTAAGAGGAAGAGCTGTAAGCGGAGACGGCAAATGCCGCCATGATGAGCATTCGTTGGCACGGATCCTCCACCGTACAGGCCATGTCCAGCAGTTCGCAGTACTCCAGCTCTTCGCACAGTCGCTGCAGCACATTCAGCGGCTCGTTGATTGTCACAGGCATGCTGATCTTCGACAGGTCTTTGCCAATGTTCTTCGTCAATAGACTCCACAGGCTTATATCACCTGGAAAGAGTGGTTAATACTTTTTTTGCGTAAATGCACTCAACTGAATCAAACTCACTTGAAGGCTGCACACTGGGCAGTTTGGTGCGTCGCCCAGTGCTGGCAAAGTGGTGATCGCCGTCCGCTGTTTTGGCCACCACCTGGCTCCCACCACCACCACTGCCACCTCCACTTTGGCCATCTTCACTAAAATCGGTGATCACACTTTCATCGTCATCCTCTTCCTCCTCCTCTTCAGAGGTGCTTGAATTGTAGTCAGAGGGGACCATTTTATCCTCTGCATCGTAGTACTCTGACATGCTGAGCACTGAAGTGTCATCCTGCGAGTAGCGGGACACATTCTGGTGAAACGTGGGCTCATCGTACTCGTCGATGCTGCTGTTGCGATTGTTCATCATACTGCCTCGCTTTGTTGGCCAGTCGTCCTCCAGTGCTGAGCTGCTGGTGGCGGTGGCGGCGTTGTTGTTGTTTTGATTGCCTACGAAGGGCAATTCCTTCCTAGCTGTGCGCTGTTGTTGCTCTTCCTGGAAGGACTTTAACAGCTCCCTGTAGGTGTTGTTCACTGGAGAATGGGGGGAGGAGGAAGTGAAGGAAGGATAAGGAGAGACAAGACAAAACAGACAATCAGACAACAGGTACAACAAGTCATTAGACAGGGGAAGTGATTAGGCACTTTACACACCTTCGTTAGCCAGTGCAATAAACTCGGTCATGGCTTCAGTTTTGGAGAGAGGTTTCGGGTTCAGCTCGCTGTCGACGTGGCCCACAGAGGAGGAGGTCGCACCAGAGGAGGGGTCCTCTTCGGCCAGCGAAGGGTGCGACAGGCTGAGGTAGTTCTCACTGCGCAGTGACAACTGGTCATCCTTGAGTGGATGCTGCTGCAGTTCCACGCCCTGGTCCATGCTCTTGCTGCTGCCAGCGTTGCTCTTCTTCTTGCGCAGGTGAAAACGCCGTCGGGGCTTCTTGTACTTGAACCCCTCCAAATCGGTGACCGTCGTCACGCTGCTGTGCTTCACCTCGATCACCTTCACCAGTGAGCTCAGCTTGATCAGCTTCTCCTGAAGCCGAAACAGATCATCCTGAATGTCAATTTCGCTGAATTTGGACACAGATAGTTCGGAAGACGAGATTTCTTTGTTTGTTGTGTTTTTGAAGAAGGTGAGACGGTTAGTGTTAAGGCCATTATCACATACAGTTGTCGGGTTATTATTGTCTGTGCTTGAAAGGCACGTGCCGTAGGTCATCTCGTGCTGACGGGCCAGTCGGTGGTTCTTCAGCGCCAGCACCCACTGATTAAAGTTGTCTGGTTTCTTCACCTTCAGGTGGAAGATGTCACTGCCCGAGTCAATGTCAATCCGCCGTGAGCTGGCCTTCGTTGAGATGACCGTCTGGCCGACGTCAATCACGCCTCGGGTTTTGCCCTTGCTAATGTCAGAGGCACTTTTGGCGTAAGAGAGGATGCCTTCAGAAAGCTGGAAGAAACGTTTGTGCCAGCCTGTGATCATAGAATTACCGACTGTGAGCAATGCCTACATAAACAAACATCCCCAACACCAATGACTCACCCTTCAGCGGCCGCTTTCTGCGTTTGAGCATGTAGCCCGAAAATCTGATGGGCTTCTCCTCGAACCTCTGGTCAGCCTTGAGGCCGCCCAGAATGAGCCAGGAGTCCTTGGGAATGGCCTCATCCTTGGTGGAAGGTGCAGGTGCTGCGGCGGCGACGGTGCTGACAGAAAACAGAGGTGCCTTCTGCTGTTGGCAAGAAGTGTCCGTGTCGTTGGGCGGCTCACTAGGCGAGGCATCTAGAGAACTCAAATGGGAGCTACTATTGAGCAAGTGGGTGTGTTCGTTGTTCAGTGGATGCTGCTGAAGCACCTCGAAAGCCTGCAGTTTCATTTGTTAGTCAAGGTGAAGTACTTTCGCTCACGGCAAAAACAAAACACTTACACTTTTGTTTGTTGGGTCTTCATCGCTGATGGAGTTGGTGGTGGTGGTCGTCGTCGTACTGGAGCCACTTACGCTGGCACTGGTGCTGGTCATTATTATCACAGCAGCAGCAGCACTAGCAGCACCAGCAGGCTCAGTGTTGTCTGTGACGACTTTGCTCGCTTTCATCACTGTTCGGCTGGCAGCGGGTACTCATGGGTCAACCTCGACATTGACGGCGACGACGGTTGATTCGGTGGTAGTGCACACGTGGACGTAAAGCGTTACATGAGTGTGGAGTGCTTCAAGGGGGACCGTGACGCGCCTGGCTGCACCGAGGTAGACGCCGAGAGTGGAAGAGCAAGAGTGAGGCACTGTGATTCTTCGGCACGAAAAGCACTGCGAGACGACGATTGTATCGGTTGATAGTGCTGGTGGTGATGGTGCTGATGGTGGTGTCCTTCTCGGTGGCAAGGTACCTACTGCTGCTGCTGCGGCTGTTGTTGATGGCTCAGAGAGCTGAGCGGCGCTCTATGGACATCAGCTACTACAGCACCGCTGGGAAATGTGATTAATCATCACTTCTTAATCTAATTAATAATTAGCATCACAATTCGTGTAGCCACACACAGTTTCTCCGACCGACTGTATGTTTCTCTTTCTTTCTCTGTCGACTCTCCCCACTCCGTCTTCACGTCATAATGCTTGAAGCGCTGTCTCTCTCTGTGTGCTAGAATGTTGTTGTACGAGAGCTGCTCTGCGATTGGTGCTCACTGAGCTGTACAACGGCGTCGGCGACGGCAGCAGAAAACTAAGCGACCGCTCTTTGTGCGTGATTGGCAAAGAGTAATATCCTCTCGAATGTATTGCTGCTACTGCTGGTGATGGTGCTGGTGATATCATTGACAGATATAATTTTCATGGCACCAGAGACCGTTGCTGTTGCTATTGACCTTCGAGCTGCTGTTTGTGCAAATCACAGTCGTTGATGAAGACAGTAGTTAGAGGCAATACTGCCTCCTCTTTGGTGTTCTTTTTTAAGCGCCGAAGGACGATTGGCAGTTCTCACCATTACCACTGGCGGAATGTCGATGAATTGTTATGACATGCTGACTGATTTACACAGACTCATTGGGAGCATCAAAACACAATTCGACCTAAAAATAAACCTGTCGCTCAGCTGTTGTTTGGCAGCTACTGGCAAAAGATGAATGGGCCACTCTCTGCCCGACTTCAAACTACACTTCCTGATAGTGGTTCCATGATGCTGATGATTCATGAGAGGCTCACGTGGAGGGAGTTTGAGAAAGAGAGCGGTGAGACAGGGCAAACCCGATCGGTATATAAGAGAGTGGTGAGAATTCACGTGGACAGAGAAGGCAGTCATTCAGTGAGTCAGTCACCTGTCTTCTTCGAGCTTGCACTTGCAAGACGAGCACAGGCAGGCCGATTCGGCGGTGAAGCCGCTGAATAGTGTGCTGGCCACCGTCTTTCCGTGAGCGAGCACTAGTGGCAACCATGGCAACTGTGACCAGGCGAAGCTCTTAGTGTTAGTCCAGAGATTCTCCCGTCAACAACACCGCTCTGCACTGTTTGCTTGCTGTGCCCCTTTAATTCCTTCATCGTAGCATTATCAACTCTTTGCCATCATCTTCGACAGCATCATCATCTACTGAAAAAGCCTGCATTATGCCTGGTTACATGACCAAGAACGGACAGAAGTGTAAGTACCATCGGCGACAGTGGCCAATAGTTGATGTTATTGTTGTCGTGCGAGATTTCCACTGAGCGAATGATACGTGAGACAGTAAAGCAGTCCATGCAGTGGCCATTCAGTGTCTCCTCTGTCGTCCTCGATGGTTCACCATGAGGATGAATGCACAACCAGTGAGGTTTCGCCCGTCCGATCAAGAGAGGGGGAGAGTTATGAGGTAACAGAAAGCTGAGAGACATTTCACAGGCACAGGCATAAGCACTACCGCACAAACACTACCACAAACGCAACACTTGAATGCAGTTTGCGTCTGCCAACGAGTCGCGCCCCACCAAATGCGAAAGCCGTCTCGCTGGCTGCATCAATTCAACTTCAATGGGGCACTACCTGTGAGAGGTGCAGAGCTCGAGTAGCTGCAGCCTTCTCTCTCTCTCTCTCTTCTTTCGTGACTTGCGCGTTTCCCTCGCCACAACACTTGTCACCGAACTCGTGTGCCAATCAACCCATTCCACAGGCTTATCCAGTATTCACTTGTCTTCACATCCATATCCTCCTTCCTGCCACCAGTTGACCACCACCACCACCACTAGTTGCAACTTCTTTCGGGCGGTAAGTTTAGATACGTAGCCGTTTTACCTCCGCCGCCACCACCGCCGCAGCTGACTTGGTGGCCTCTGACCACTTGTGGCAGCATTCGCTACACAGTGGTGAAAGCCACCAAAACGGTGCCACTGCCAACAAAGTATGCCGCGTGTCTTGGGGAAGAGAGCCTTTCCTTATGTGCTCGCACCGCTTGCGTAGACAGCTGGCTCGTTCTAATTAGAGATATCACTCTCTATTGCTCCTTTGATCCTCGCAATTTGATCCTCACTCGCTCGCTCGCAGTTCACTTTCAGAGTTCATGTGCCGCTTTGAAGCGCATTTGACTTTCTTTAGTCGTCATTTGCCTTCTTCTTATCTCGCACATGCACACAATGCCCATCCACTGTTTAGCTCTGAAAGTGATCAAGTGAAAGTCGCTTTGTCTCTCGTCTGAGGAATGCATTTCCCGATTCTTCGCAGACCATTAGCCGTTAATGGTGGCGAGGAGCGTCTGCGTCTGGTTGGCCGCCGTAGCGTCGACCGCCATCTCACTGATGATGTCGCTCGGTGCAACAGCAACTGTAAGATTAGCTTCAGAATGACCTCCGTCTGAGCTTCGTTTGCATCGAAGCGATTGCACCATCTATTTACCATTTAGACTGCTTATCCCTCCTTTTCTCGCCCTAACTAACATGTGCTTTTCTTCTTTCATTCCTTCCCTTCCCCCTTCTGTCCTGCTCCCACTGCCAAACATGTACTGCAAACACTCACACACATCAACAGCTGCCTTCGACGCACTGCGAGCCAGCTTCGAAGCACTGAACGACAAAGTGCCCGACGTCAACGACGCTGACATTCACTTTCTCAAAGGACTCATTGAGTCGCCTGTCGTCCAAAATCTCCTCAAAGTCCAGGAGAAACTCGAGCTCACCTCTGCCGCTGACCTGTTGAATAATGCCCCAGAGTGCACCGAGCTTTTAGACTACAACTTTAGTGAAGTGCTGAGTGAGGTGCAGTCAGTGTGCCAGAAGATGTCCGCTCGCAACCAGGACGCTCGTTCGTTGTCGAAGATACTGGAGAATCCGCATTTGGAGGCACTGGTGGAGGCGCACAACAACGTCGCCCACGGCAACTACAGCGAGGCCCGACTGGAGGAGTCCTATGAGATGGACATGATCAACAACGGAGGTCCCGATGAGATGCGCAATCTCACGCCCAGTGCCATTCGAATGGTCGGCATCAGAAAGTCGAGCAATGAACCACTGGGCATGACGGTCAAAGTGGAAGACGGTCTGGTGGTCATTGCGCGCATCTTTGCCGGAGGACTTATTGACAAACAAGGCCTCCTTCACGTCGGCGACATTATCCTCGAGGTGAACGGACAGGAGATCAGTTCACCAGAGCAGCTACAGGATCAGCTGAAGAGGTCAACGGAAAGTGTGACTTTCAAGATATCGCCCTCTTCACGAGACACCTTTCCAGCTACGCCCTGCTACATGCGAGCTCTCTACAACTACGATCCGAGCGCAGACAAACTGCTGCCCTGCAAAGAAGTGGGCGTGGAGTTCAAGCAGGGCGACATTCTCGAGGTGCTTAACCAGGAGGACCCCAACTGGTGGCAGGCTCGTCGAATTGACTCGGTGAGCACTCGAGCGGGACTGATTCCTTCGCAGGAGCTGGAGGAACGACGCCGGGCTTTTGTCCGCCCTGAGTTTGACTACGCTACAAAGACGAGCATTTGCGGCACTAAGATTACCAAAAAGAAGAAAAAGGAAATGTACCACCTCCAGGCGAATCACGAGTTTGACAAGGCCGAGCTGGCCCTCTACGAAGAGGTTTGTCGTGCGCCGCCCTTTGAACGAAAGACGCTCTTTCTCGTCGGCGCCCAGGGAGTCGGTCGAAGCACACTGAAGAACCGAATTGTCAACTACGACCCAGAGCGATTCGAAATACCTCTGCCACACACCTCGCGCCCAATTCGAGTGGGTGAAATCGACGGGAAGCAGTATTACTTTGTGTCTCGAGAGCAGATGGAGCGAGAAATAACCGAGGGCAAGTACCTCGAGTACGGCGAGTACCAGGACCACCTGTACGGCACCAAACTGGACACCATCAGAGAAGTCATTCGATCGGGGAAAATGTGCGTCATTGACTGCAATCCACAGGTGAGTGTTCCAATGTTCTTATGCTGCTTCATTCTAGGAATACTAAAACTTTTCTTTTTGCAGTGCCTGAAAATGCTAAAGAACGCCGAGTTCATGCCTTACGTAGTGTGCATTGCCGCTCCCCCACTGGACCAGCTTCGGTACATCAACGAGGTCAATAAGAATAACACATACGGCTCCCGAACCTACTATACGGTAATTTGGCTCGCAAGTTGAATTATGATTGTTTAACCTCCATTTTCCCTTTCTTCTTTTAGTTTGACCGAGCAGTCGGCCGTTCTCGACGTGCTCGCACCATGCAAAGCCTGGCAGAGTTCTACGAGGATGAGGACTTGCAGGCCTCCATTGATGAGAGTGCCCGTATCCAGCGTGCCTACGAGAAGTACTTTGACCTGACCATCGTCAACAGCAACTACGACAAAACATTTGAAATACTGCGCGATGCAGTCGATGCACTGTCCATTGAACACCAGTGGGTGCCCATCAACTGGATCTACAACAGCGATTGAGTCCAAAGATACCAGAAAGTATTAACATATTGTACATATTCAAAATGAAGGCCACACATCACCAACAAACACGCACTTACACCACCGGAGAATAATTATTCCGCACCAGTTCATCTGCAGTATTGCAAGTAGTGCTTTACTTTTTGTTCATTCCTTTACAAGCACCACACATTTTTTGGCGTTACCAATAAATAGAAATCGTAATAGTATTTACAGTGTACAGGTGGGCAGTCATTTGGCAGTGGAAGTCAAACAGATAGCTGCACAGTGCCATCTCATCGATTCAATATCGTCTTGATGGCCGTCTCACTGAGCATCTCCAGAATGCACTTCTCCTCGGCTGAGCTGACCGACGAACTGCCGCCACCATTGGCACCATTGGTCAGACTGTGCAGCTGCAGGGCCTCTGAGATGTGCTTCGGACGGTTGAGATTGGTGCCGCGCATTCGAAGTTCATTCTCCAGGTGAAGTATGTACTGACAGACGGAGGTAGCCTTTCCGGTCACCTGATTCGTCGACTTATCTGCTGAACTTTGAAACACCTGCGGCGTTGCGGCGTTCTCGTCCAAAAGAACACAAAGCTGTGTGCGTGGAACCGTAAGTTAGTTATTTGGCACGACAAAACCCTTTTGCCCTCCACTACTTACCTGTTTGAGTGAATAGTTCTCCCGAATAAGCTCGAATTGTTTCTGTTCGAGGTAGGCGAGCTTCTGCTTGAGTGAGTTCCAATTTAGCGATTGTTTACTGTTGACGTCCCGCATAAACTGTCGCGCAAAATTTCGCTCCTCGTCAAGGAAGAGCACCAGCTCTTTCATTTCATTATTCTCCTTCATCAGGTCGATTAGCTTCTGCTTCAGCTCCAGTATCTCTTCGTCCCGTTTGTCCATGGCAGTGCGATCACGCATTCGAGGCCGAGTCTGTTTGTTGATCACCAAAGGTGACAGCAGCAGCAGCAGGTGACAGAAGGTGGTGGTGGGCCAAAGCAGAGAGAGGGCAAGAGAGGCGAGCCAGCGAAATGTGTTGAGTGGCAAGATGCGACGATGCGGCGGCAGTGTGATCGAAGTGACCGAATTAATCCTCGTCCGTATCATAGATGGCCATTATCACCTGACCGAGAAGGTGGGGCCAAGTGGAGACCTGCTGCTTCCAGTTTCTCGCATCTGGCCAGCACTGGACTGATGAGAGATGAGGCAACCACCACCGCTGTCAGCCAGTTGTTCACTCTTCACCTCTCGCTCCCCTCACTGAACTGCATTCCTTCGAGTGTGAGGCCAACAGGCAGCAGCAGTAGTGGTACACCGCAAGGGAAGCCACCTGTAAACAGACGGGGCTAGTCTAAGGAGGTTATGGTGCTGCACTCGGCTCTTCCCTGGGCAGACCGGACTGGCCACCTTGATGCTACCACCTTCGCTAGCTTAGAGCGCTGCCGTTCGGCAACGCATTCGCATGTGTATACGGTAGGTTTACTGTAATGTACCGGCATAAGGGAATCATCATTCTTTAACAGTAGATAGAATTATCTAGTAACAACGAACTTTAACAACGACAACATTGGTAGAAAAGGGGAATGGCAATCAGATATGATCAGGAGACTGAAGCAATCACAAGCTATATTTTCTTATCTTCCCGTTCTTCCCATAGTGTTCTGCCACTGCAGGCGCAAATCTTCTTTGAGTTATCCATAACCTTTGACGCCCTGGCCACAATACCGGCGCCGACCATTTCGGAGCCCTTTGAGATGGCGAAAGCATGTCCAATAAAAGAGGCTAAATCACAGTTGTCTACTTTGTTTTTGATGCTAAGCTTTGAGCCAGAACAGGGAATGTCTTTTGCAAAAGAAAATATTCGATCTCCGATTGAGCTGTAGGAAGGCTCACTTAGGTCTCCGTACTCGTGAACTCCCAGCTGGTATTGTTGGTTCTGTTCTAAGCCATCAATGACGGCATCAAGTAGACATTGCTTGTTTTCATTCTGTACAAACCGCGCCACACCAAGTACATTTTGGTATTTTTCTGAGCCTCTAATTTCAGCAACACTGGTCACAAAGTTTCCAGTGCCTCTGATGATTGCATTAATTTTCAGCTTTTCCTCGATGATGCTTTGAATTTGAAAAGCACTAGGGCTTTCTTCTCCCAACTGCAAAACTAGCCTTTGTTCATGCACGTTAATGTCTTCAATTTTAATTCCCTGAATTGCTGACAGTTCTCGAACAATGGCCTCTTTGCAGGAGTTGCACTTCATTTGCACCGCATATTCAACCTGAAAAATATAAATCCGTGAGATTTAGTTATTATAAATTAAAATTAAAACTTGCATTAAATAAAAAACTCTGCATCTTTAATTTAAAATTAGATGTTTGTGTTTTTTAAAATGATTTTATACTGCGGTTAAAATGATTGTCTAAGGTGTGCAAAAGTCTAAGAAAAGGTGAGTCCATCAAAATCTTTATTTTTGTTTTCAATGTGGGGTTTGTCAAAATAGTGGCGCTATTTTTACAGCACGTGAAACTGGTTTTGGAAAAAAACTCAGCAAAAGCCGACTTGGATCTGTTGTTGTTTCAAGAATTTGCATCAGTTCGCATCTTGACATTGTTCAGTTTTCTTACTGCAAAACCGGTCAACTAATAAATTCCGTAAGTACTCATGTTTTAGAAAACTTGTGCAGCAGTTTAATTAGTGTTATTTTGTCTATACAGGCGTCATCATGGCTATGGCAACATTTCAACAGAAGCGAGCCAACATTCGGCTTCCACCTGAAGTGAATCGCATCTTATATGTCAGAAACTTGCCATACAAGATAACGTCCGACGAAATGTACGATATCTTTGGCAAGTACGGCGCAATAAGGCAAATCAGAGTGGGCAACACTCCCGAAACGAGAGGGACTGCATTTGTTGTTTATGAAGACATCTTTGACGCAAAGAACGCATGTGACCACCTGTCTGGCTTTAATGTCTGCAATCGGTACTTAGTTGTTCTGTACTATCAACCAAATAAGGCATTCAAGAAGATTGACGTCAACCAAAAAGAGGCAGAACTGGAATCACTCAAAAAGAAGTTTAATGTTTAATGCAATGAACAAAGAATGGAAGCCCTAAGAGCTGCAGCATGAAGGAGATTTCATTTTGCGGACAATCATTTTGACAACGGAATACTGTGTGCGTATCATCAGGAACAAGCTTCGATCCTGTACAGTTTCACTAAACCAAACACATGTGTACATATGAACCAGTTTTGTTTACAGTAAAGAGAATTTCAGCGAGCAAACATGCGTGATTATTACTCAATGAGGTAAATGTTGTTGATATTAGTCGATTGGACACTTCGTGCTGAGGCAGCACTGGATGCGTATGCCTCCGTGTTGATGAATTCGATTTCACTCTTTCGCTTGTCCTCGCGGGAGTAGTACAGTCCAATGGAGGTGACGCCCATCACAAAGAGAAGTCCACCAAGGAGGAGAAGGACGATGCCTACGATCCAAATGTACTCGGCTACATTGGCTGAGCTACCGAACACCTGAAATGGATGGATATGGTTTAATAATCTTATAAACAAGCACAAATCAGCTGCCTTACCATAAGAATAATTCCAGCGAGAAAGACGAATCCACTCAAAAAGAGCACAAACATGCCCAGGTTGAGGAACCTCTGCGGCGTCTCCTTGAAGGTGTCGTAGTAAGCATAGCTGGCCACGGTACTCATCTTTTAGCGATTCTATAGTTGCTGTTCCCTCTGGGCCAGTCACTTGTGTCAGATCACAGTGTGGTGGTACACCAAAGGAAAGGACAGGCGAGGGAGAGGGGACATTGAAGTTCAAGACACGGTGGAAACGAGAAACCAGCAGTCATTCTTCACAGTCTGGGGGTCCAGTCTTAGGTACAGGTATTGTCGAAAATGAGGGGGAGAGAGTCTAAGTGGATGAGCTGGTGGCTGGTTGAACTGAGGTGGTGATGGTCTACACACGAGCGGCAGCAACAGTTGTCCGTCGCAGCGGCGGCGGCAGTGCACACACTGCGACGCCTACAGAATGAACGAATGGCCTTGATGGCGAAATGGCTAATTGATTAGTGCTCAATGATGTGTAGTGGTCGATGGGGAGAGGAAGGAAAGAGAGAAGATGGCTGAAGTGGACAGTGGGACAATACTGCAGTCAGTCAGTCAATCTGCTACACTTTGCTTCGCTGGACTTCACTGGGGCGAACTAGTACAGAAGGGGAGACAGAGGCAGTAGGCAGAATCATAATATCGGCGGAGAGGACAAATCGCCAAATGGCGAAAGTAAACAAGGAGTCAGCCTGAAACCTGTTCTCTGCCTGCAATTGATACTGCCACTGAGCACTGGACGACTGCCGACGACGAGAGACTCGTTCGATGTTCAGCAGCAGCAGCAACATATGGCTCAACAAGCTGCCATCATCCAGTGCCCACACCGTCATCGCCGTCGTCCAAGTGGTCAGTTAGACAGCTAGCCAGTCGCTCTTTCGTTGTCTTTAAAGCTTTGCTCCCCTTTCCTTGCTGTCCTCTCCAGTTAGTCGCCTAATCGGTGAGCCATTTAGCCGATGATGGTAATGCTGCTGCTGCTGCTGCTCTTGGTGATGATGGTGATGGGGATGGGGAGATGCGGGTGCCTTCCATTAGGACTGCTGGTTGATGTTGCTGCCTCCACCGCCGCCACCAGCAGCACCACTGCCGCCACCGCCCTCGCCGCTAGTGGTGGCTGAAAATGGAGCAGCGCCTGGATTCTTGTACTTGGCGGCGTCTCGACTCTGCGCCTTGAAGGTGTGGTAGGCTGCCTTGAAGAAGAAGAAGACGCCCAGGAGAAAGAGGACGATGCCGATGGAGGTGATGGCCAGTGTGACGGGGGAGATGTTGTTGTTGCTGGAGCGCACTATGAACCAGGTCATCAGTCCGAGGCAGATGATGAGCGAGCCGCCCAAGCCCAGGTACTTGCCCGCATGGTAGGCACGGTAGTGGGCAATGGACCGTTCATCCTTATTATGCGACACCTCACAGAGACGCAGGAGACGACGCATGCTGTTGGCTAGGAACTGATGCTGCCTGTTCTCTGACTGGCCAGTCGGCGTCAATGATACTGGAGTATAAAGTCGATATGTACAAAGTATAAACTTCACTGGTGTGTGCGTGTGAAGTGTGAAGTGTGTGTGTGTGTGCTGGTTGCACTGTACGACCGTTCAGGGCGATGCAGGCAGATTTGGTTTGCTTGCTGACCAAGAATAAAAGTCAAAGAAGAGGAAGAAGAGGAAGCAGACCATCGAGCTTAGTCACCCTGGTACTTTTGGAGCAATAGCAAACACGCAAACAGTTAAGCTCGGTTGATAGAAAAGTTGTTATGGAAATTTGAGCGAGACTCAGCTTTGGTCATATCGCCTGCTCACTCGCACACAGACACAGAGAGGGAAAGAGAGAGAGAGAGAGA